TCCATATATATAACAGAGATGAATTAATGTAATTGAATGCAAACTGTGCACGGTGCATCAAACGCAAGCGTACATGACGCATTCCAGAAGAATTGGTTAGTGGCTGATATTGTGTACATACCAACTTCTTTACACTTATCCTATTAGTTAATTGTGAATTATATTTTATTTACACACGTACGTATACATTCACACACACACACACACCTGTACACAAATCTATAAACGAAATGGCATCACACATACGCCTACACATACTTTGACACAGACCTGTATATATATAGAATTATATTTGCATGCATATACATACACACATAAATACACATAATTACAAATAACTTAACGCGCACTTTCAGAACACAACAATTGTCTGCACAAACACGCGCGTGGACATTTTCGCATACCACACACAAGACAAAGATCACCCGTGAAGCCTTAGCAGACTTTTGGGGCAAGTGGTGTTAACGAGCACCTATGAAGGCCGGCACTAAACACGAGGGTTGTGGTTGGCGAGCACCACGCCCGGGTGATTTCGTCTCCCCCTGTGGCGATGCTTTACACCAAAGCAGGAACTCATTTGAGGCTGAGTCGACCTCGGCAAAGCTTAGGACCCTGTTCAGGTCATCGTCACTGTTGGGTCGCCGTGAGCGGTCATCGAACCCGGGTGGACGGGTTCGTAGCACAGCGCGTTAACCACTGCACCGCCGCTCCCACATAGCGATACGCAGAAGACAAACGCGCACACACATACGTGTACTGTATAGTCTACAACACATTGCGTTGTACAACTTTCTGTAAGTGTCTGTGCACACGCAGACACAAACGCGCGCGCACAAATACACAATACATAATTAACAGGTGAAAGACAAAGATCCCCGCAAATTACTTTTCAGGCTATTGCGGCCAGCGTTGTTAGCGAGCACCTATACATTCCGCAAGAGGTAGGATTAGTGTATTTAACAAAGACAACAATCCGCCGTATGGTCCTTCACAAACTATTGGGGCAAGTGCTGTGAGCGAGCACCTATGAAAGCCGTCACGCCACAAGAGGATGTGGGTGGCCAACACCACGCCCGGCAGCCTTTGTCTTCCCAGTGGCGATGTTTACACACCGCGCCAGGTACTCATTTGAGGCTGAGTCGACCTAGTAGAGGCCCACGATCGGGTCAGATAATCGTCACTGGTGTTGTGCCGTGAGGGGGAATTGAACTCGGGTCACCAGGTTCGTAGTGCAGAGCGCTAACAGCTACACAGCCGCTCACACATTTCACGCACACATATAGACATACACACACATATACGTTTACAACGATCCCTCGCTTAGACTTAGAAAGTCGGAGTTAGTAGTTGGTCGTTCGCAAGCACCTACCCATTAAGGTCGACGTGAATTACCGTTGGATGACACGGATAGGCTGAACGATAATATATATGATTTAGGAATTATCTGGTTCAATAAAGTCATATACGTGCTTACATATAGTGGCAAGATCCGAAGCACGGCTTTATTGTACTAATATTGAGTACAGTATAACTTTAAACCCAAACTGCACAACACAACTTCACTTCAAAAATAAGTTTCAGCTCGTTATCAATTCACTGCTAGATTACGCACGCCGTCTCGGCAATAGGGGTTATCTTGACTTCTGACCATACTTCACCACGCTGGTCAGTACGGATTGGTGAAAACGAAGGCTCAAGATCGGTTTAGATATCGCTCACCAATGCAATTAACCATGGACGGCACCGCCATGCTGCCTTTGTCTCCCTTGCGCTGATCTTTACACATTCGTTTAAGGCTGAGTCAACCTAGAGGGGTGGGGATATGGGCAGGGCAACTTCAGGTTTTTTTCCTGCCACTGTTATTGGTCGTGAGCGGATATCCAACTCGGGTCGTGGCGCTAACGACTGCGCCACCGCTCCTCCCCGCGCGCGCGCACACAACTTCACACACACACACGACAATAACCTGCCGTGACAATCGTACACAGTGTATAACTTAATAGGCGCTTTGAAAATTAAATATTATTGAATGATAAGTGTAGGGAACAAATGACGAAATGTGCAGTAGGGCACCTCGGGCTTTCTTACCATGGATCATGATGATGATTATTATGAATAATTTAATTAACGCTCAACATATATTATATATCCACGCAACGAGGACGTTAAGACGCAGTTGCTTCCTCATATTTGAGTCACACCGAGCACACATTTTGGGTGCATCTTACTTTTTTCGGAGCGTCCTTATAATCCAGAGAATAATCACGCAACAAAGACAAAGATCCCCTGTATAGCCTTAACAGACTGTTGAGGCAAGTGCTGTTCGCGAGCACCTATAATCACACGCGCGCACACACACACAATACGGACATTCCTTCGCACAAACACACACCCACGAATATATATAGTTAGTTCACTATTCATACACGTACACACCCACGTACAAATTACTTCGCACGGACATATATATTGCAGAAATAACTTGACATATATGAAGCCTTTAGAGGAAACAAATATATAATAGCCGACGTTTCAGGAAATGGCCTTTCTTCGCGGCAACTGAATGTATCGCTACACCCATCAAATTATGTGCTTGAAATATAAATGAATTCACTCGCCCAGTAACTTATACCTCTCAAACAAACACAGGCGTATGAATTATTCCACACTCGTATACACACACACACACGAGATTAGCTTAACCCCACACGCATATCTATAACTTCACAAACACATACATCGATTGTAACTTAATACGTGTGCACACTGGTAATTAGTAACTCAACTGTTGCATGAGTATAACAAACCATGGAGTGGTCAGGCCTTCATCCAGCAATGAATCGACAATGGTTGATGCTGCCGAAAAGGCATTTATTACAGCACTTGAAGCACGCACAGACACACGCCGCACATTGCATACACTATTTAACGCTCACCCAAACACGGAATGGATATACATGTTCAACAATATTTAAATGCACATTCGTGAAACGCATTCACACACGCGCGCGTGCTCGTTAATTCTACCATGTAGAGAAAAAGACAAATATCCCCCGTATAGCCTTAACGAAACTAATAGGGCATGTGCTGTTAGCGCGCACCTATTAAGGCCGGCACCAGACACACAATTAATACGGAGTCGACCTAGGAGAGACCCGGGACCAGATCAAATAGTCGCCACTATCATTGGTCATGAGCGGGAATCGAACTTTGGGCGCAAGGTGCGTAGCGCAGTGCGCTATTCGTTACACAATTCGCTATCCCATGTACGTAACCACGCACGCGCACGCACTGCTGAAGCGATAAAGTGTCCGTGCGCTGTGTTAATTGTCGCATCTCCTCCGATTGACGTGGGGAGGGGAATATATATTCCTGAAAAAAAAATTCACTTGAAATGACCACGAGGTCAAAGTCAAACTATTGGGCGGCAAGATGATTCCAATTAACGAGCGCACGTGACTGATATCGGTACAGAGTTTATCTGTGTGTGTGCTGTGTGTGTGCTGTGTGTGTGCTCTGTATGTGCTCTGTATGTGCTGTGTGTGTGCTGTGTATGTGCTGGGCCATATCACCCAATCGTGCGCCGTTCCGGATTTAATAGGTGCTCGCTAACAGCACTCGCCTCAATAGCCTGGGTTTAGAAAACAAGGGTGGGCTTTGTCTTTGTTTGTGTATGGCGTGGGAGCGGTGGCGTAAGTGGTTAGCGCACTGCACTACTGGTCCCGCTCCCAGAATTCGATTCCCGGACACGGCTGACAATCGGCGGTGATTATCTGAACGAATCCTGCGCCTCCCCTAGGTCGACTCAGCCATAAACGCCACGTGCACGCCGGGGAGCGGTTCATCACGCACAAGCAACGACAACAAATCCGCCTATTGGCGTCACACACCGTGGAGACATCGGGCTATTAGCGAGCGCCTATTACGGGCACGAGGAGGTGGTTGGTGGCGAGGAACAACGCACGCCCGGCGATGTTTACGGTTCACCAAATGCGTATCGGGGCCGAGTCGACCTAGAGGTGGCCCTCGGCATGCACCGCTGATAATCATTAACGGAACATGAGCACATTTGCCAGGATTCGAACCCAGGTTCGTTAGTTTTTGTTTGTGTTGCCGGCTTCGTAGCGGCACGTGCGCGAATCACCGCGCCGCTCTCCGATCGCAACTCCCCCCCCCCCCCTCTGCACGCTCCGCGAAGAGGCGGATAAAGACGGCTAGGCTCGCCGACGGTGAGGCGTCGATGTGTGGCGAGTTGAATCGTACGGTGCGTCGATGTGTGGCGAGACGCAACGCAAATGATCGCTGTTCTAGACTCTGACGCTGTGGCGGGGGGAGTCAGTGACACCGATCAACCTCCCGAGACCCCCCCCCCCCCCTCATCAATATCTGGGAGCTCGCAACATTTTTTTGTAAGTTCCTTAATTGAACGTTGCCTTTCCAGATTGCTCCAAATGACGAGCGTCGGCGACTGTGTTCGCGCAACATTACAGATCTCTACGATAGACGGATTTAAATGATATCGATGGCCTCGGAAGGGACCATCGATATAATGTTGCGCGACCCGCGTGTCCGCGTAAAGGGCGATCCATTTGTGGACACCCCACTGATTCCCCCCCCCCCCCCCCGCATGACCCCTGTTACTTCTAAACACGTTGGGCCCAACGCAGCCGTGTGATGTTGGTCAAAGTATTTCGGAAGGGTGTTGGAATATTGAACACACGCATTGCGATTGGGCGGGTGTCATGCGGAGGCTTTGAAATATATCTGTTCTCTCTTTAGTTCCCCCCCCCCTGTTTATTTTGATGGGGTATCTACGAATGGATCGCCCTGTATGATACGAGATTGTATATTGTAGCACGATACTGCGTTGTAAATTATGTACATGCACAAGAAAAAACACACAATAACACTGTGACACCCCCCCCCAAATATAAATATAACAGTCGACGTTTCGGGCAATGGTCCTCGTGTGTAAAAGAGCGTAAAGGCTGCTCACTCACCATGTACGCCGCATAGGGGGGACCATCGGCGGCCGCGTACTGGAAGGGGCCTGCGTAGAGGGAGGCTCTTAGCCCGGGGTAGGGGCTGAACGCAGACCCTGAACGTCCAAGTTCGGCTCCTCGTCCCGCGTGAAGCATTCCGCTTGGCCCTCCACCACCACCACCAACTCCGGCGCTCACGGATCCCACGCCGCCGGCTGCGGAGCCGATCAGGAGCCCCGCGGCCGCGGCCGCTCCTCCTCCCCCCCCTGGCCCCGCGCCTCCAGCCGCGGCCGCAGCAGCCGCGGCCGCCGCTGCAACAGCAGCCGCGGCGGCCGCCGAAGACGACGACGACGACGATCCGGATGGGTAGAGCGCAGCGAGCGATGCGGCGGGAGACTGGTACAAGAAGGCGTGCTGGTAAGACATGTCTGGCGGACGATCTGCTGCGCTCGCGGGCAACGAGAGGGGTGGCTCCGACTACATAGACGGCTCGAGCCACACGCGCACAGCATGCACAGTGGCGTGCGGCCGACTGGGTGGGTTGGGGGGGCACGGCAGGGTAACAACCCACGGCTACGGCGTGCGCATGTGTGGCCCCCGCTCGCTCTGTGTGTACTCTCAGAGCGGCTGGCGTTGAACAGCACTGAGAGAGTATCTTTAAAACGAGCCGCGCTACTTGCTGTGCTGCACCGCCTGCCCGGCGTGGCGAGCGCTGTCACTGCGTCGGGGGGGGCCCCTGCTATGCCTCCCCGATGTGCTAACGCGGCCCGGCTATTGAGTCCTTAATAGCTATTGTAATTGCAATTTGGTAGATTCACCGCTGTAGCGATTATTCGCAACGTGCCAGCGTCGTGCGCTGACAACTTGACCCGGTGTTGTTGTTATGAGCAAAGAAAGGGCTGCACGCACACATAACCCTCCCTAGCCACTCACTCACTCACCTACTCGCCTGTCCTCCTGCCCCTCCTTAACAGCGTCCTCTCTTCCCTCGCTGCCGTGCAGGCTATTGTACAGTCTGACACAACACGCACGCAGCCTTGCTGGCTCGGTATGACTTCATCCAGCCTCGCTCCTTCCTCCCCCCTCTCTCTCTCCCCCCTCTCTCTCTCTCCCTCTCCTCCCTTCGCTCCCGTCCACCACCAACACCGCCAACCTCCTCTAGCTCGCCCGTGTCCCCGTGCGTTCTACTCCGCGTGTGTACACGATGCGTACGGCGTGAGGCTACACTGCCTGTGTGCTCGAAGCGCGCGTCCCTTACTCTCTGCACTGTGCATGCAGCGCAAACTGCTGTGGTCGGTCTCTCTCTCTGTGTGTGTGCGTCTCATTGCCCATGGGGGTCTCGTCGGGTTTTTTTTTACTACAAACCAGCTCCGCCTCTAGTGCTGGGATGGGTGGAGACGGTTTAGCTTGTATTTCTGGCTTGCGCGTGTGGGTGTGTGCAAGTATGCGCGCGCGTGTGTCACGTCGTGGAGCGGTTAGAGCGGCCACCGCCAGCACCAGTGACGAGGTTCTGAACCGGTCCTGGGGCTCCCCTAGGTCGACTCTGCCTCAAATGAGTACCTGTCGCGGTGTGTCAAACGTGGCCACTGGGGAGACAAAGGACGGTCGGACGTGGTGCATGACAACCCCCCCCCGCGATCCCGTGTCGGCCTTCATAACAACACTTGTAAAGTCGGTTTAGGCTATACAGGGGATCTTTGTCTTTGTGTGCACGTGAGTGCTATCGTTTTTTGGAGAATGCGTTTGTGTCTAAATGCGAATGTGTGTATGTATGTACGGTATAGGCCCATACATATACACACGCACACACGTGTGTAGACGTGTAAGTGCGCGTTAGTGTGTATGTGTGAACGCGTTGGCGTGTATGTATAGTTACCTTTGGGGGTGCGGTAGTGTAGTGGTTAGCGCTACGCTGCGCTATGCACCCGGCGACCCGGTTTCGATTCACGCTCACGGCCAACACCAGTGACGATTATCCGAACCGGTCCTGGGCCTCCCCTAGGTCGACTCAGCCTCAAATAAGTACCTGGTGCGGTGTGTAACCATCGTCACTAGGGAGACAAAGGCGGTCGGGCGTGGTGCTGGCCACCCACCCCTTCGTGTACCGTTCCGGCCTTCATAGGTGCTCGCTAACAGCACTTGCCCCTACAGTTTGTTAAGGCTATACGGGGGATCTTTGTCTTTGTATGTGTCCGTGTATACAAGTGTGTACGCGTGTGTCAGAATGCATTTGTGTATACGGTATAGTGCGTAAGTTTGTCTTTGTGCATATATGCACCGTATATACACATACGTACATAATGTACGTGCAAGTATGCGTGTGTGTGTGTGCAAGCATAGGTCTTTTGGCTATGTACATGGGTATGCATGTATACGTGCGTGGGTATGCGCGTGCGTATTAGTTTCGTGCCTGCATATGGTATAAATGTGTAAGTATGTGTGTCTTTGTATTTGCATGTGTAAATATGATGCGTGTGCATGTACCAGTGTGTAAGTGTGTGTATAAGCATGAATGCACATGGGCGTGAGCATGTGTGCGTGTGTGATCAGCATTTGCCCTGAGGTCCAACGATAAATGCTGAATCCTTTGCTTTTGCGTGTACGTTATGTGTGTGTGTCCGGCAAACTGAGTTCAATTCCTGACCATGCACATAGCAGTGTCAAGCGAACCCGTCTTGGGCAACCTTTAGGTGAGTCCAGCCTTAAACGGGGAGACAAATGCGGCCGGGCGTGGTGATAGCCACACCACCGCGAAGTGTGCCGTGTCTGTTATAATAGGAGCTCGCTAACAGCATTGCCTCCTGTGGTCTGCAGGGTTAAGCGTAGGTTACGATTCGTGTAAGAATGTGTTCGACCCCTGCCAGTGACGTGCATTGCATGGCACATCATCAAGTGCACCAGTGGGCCAATCACAATTGAAAGTCCGCGGGCTCAATGTCGGCTGAATATCGAGTAGGTTACTGCCTGGTGGCGTGGCGTGCATTTCAACAACATTACCGGGGAGACAAAGGCGGTTGGGTGTGCAAGTTTGTAATTGCAATCCGATTAGCGCGGTAAGAAAACGTACGGTGCGAAAGAAGTTCAACATACATAGAGCAATCCAGTGCTGTACGAGGACGTGTTGTGTAACCATACTTCACCACGCTCGTCCAGTGGCTGGCCTGGACCAGTGTTCCGCGTGTGGCCCAGAATCGAACTCGTGCTAACCGCTGCCCCGCAGCTCCACCCCAATAAAACACACACACATATATATGTAGCGACATAAATGAATGGGTGCTCGCTAACTACCCTCTCCACGACTGTCTGTTGGGTTGATTGAGGGACCTTCGTGCATGTGTGTCATCCTGCCTTGATGAGAGCTTCGCTCGCGAGCAGCACTCTACCCCAACCGTCTTTAAGCTCCACTTGTGAGCTGTGTGTGTGTGTGTGTGTTCCTTGTCGCCGAGTTCCATTCCCGGCGACGCATAACGTCAACGGAGGCCTCCCCGTAGGTTCGCTCAGCCTGAAATGAGTACTTGCTGCGTTGTGTCAAACCATCAGCACTGCGGAGACAAATTCCAGTGGGCGTGCTACCGGCGCGCCGTGCCGATCCTCAGAAGTGCTCGCTCCCAGCACTTGCCCCAACAATCTGTGCGGCTATATGGGGCTCTTTTCCCTTTTGTGCGTGCGCGCGCGCGTGTGTTGTTGATATAATACGTATCATGTATTTTATTTTAAAGCGTGTTGAAGTATGTTGGTGTGAATGTAACGTGTTTTAACTACAGGCATCGCATTGTATATGGATCATTGACTCTGTGTGCCAGACTATTAAAATGATGAATAGATAATTATCCCCACGTTATACATCATTATACACCTCTGCGCGTAGCGTCTGCTGTTGTTATATGCGAGCATGTACACGTTGCTGGTTTGGTATGCATCGAAACTTACGGCTGTGATAGTCACAGTCGTGATAACGAGATGACGTGTGCGTGAGATATGGGACATTGCGTATGTATGAATATGCACACGTGTGCATGGGAATGACATAATCACGAGCCATTGTCAATCCACTGCTGGTTTAGGTTCTCCTCGTTCCGTCACCATCTCTCGCGGTCCTGCGATACCCGCACCTGCATATTCCATCGCTCCATCTCCCCCCTTGATGTCCCCTCTCGGGCGCGTTCCGTTCCTTGGCTTGCTCCCCCTGTGATTATTTTTGGCCGTTCGCAATCATACCTTCAATCGATACTTACGGCACATACACACGAATGTATACTTGATTAACGGGCAATGTGTCACAGCCGCGCACAGCATATGTACTTCATGAATATGTACACGGACGATGCGAATACCATGCCACAGCAACTCATCGCCTGAGATCGCATCCCATGTCAAACATTCAAAGAGCACCCCCATGGGCAGGAAGCCCGTACAGCAGCACGCAGTGACTCATCACCGGTCTTCAAGTGGGCAGCAATCTTCCAGTAGGGGCGATGATCGGTGCTCGTCATGGCAATTGAGTATATCGCACATTCATATATACCCAATGTATACAGATAGAATGTTAATATTGTACATTTTAAGCATATTGAGTCCATACACAAACATGTACGTGTGCAATGCCATGCCATAGGAGCATTAATTATGCAATTGAGTTTTACAGTTTTTACGTTGTTATTTTTCAATGATACACGAATTAACCTATATGCTTATGTACGTGAAAGTGCGTGTTTTAGTGCACTCCACGTGGCCTTAACGTGCACATAGCCTGGCACAAGCGCCGTGGTGACGTCTCTGCCACTTAGTGGTGGCGAATGGCGGGGTTGCTATTAGTGCAAATGCACACTCGCGTAGAAAGCGCTGATAAATGAATACTTGTACCCATGTACAGTTACGAATGAATAATATACAAAAGACATTTGCAAAAGTGTTGTCGCCAATGTAGGAACCTCCTGAAACGTTAATCCTGGGACTCATTTATTACGTGTACATTACGTGTTATACAAACAAATATATACATTCAACAAAGTAATGCCCCAGGCTGGATTATGTTATTCCATAGCATCTATCTACTCCAAGGGTAAAAGTGTACAACGCTATTCTAAGCCTCGTGCAATGTATGAACAGCAAGCCGTATGCCTTGCTGTGCTCTGTAACCTGTTAAAGCAACTTATATAAACCGCCTAAACTGAAGGCAGGGACTTCCAAGTCAGTCCGGGTTGGCGAGCCTGGAGTGAGGGGGGGAAGATTCCGCACCCGGCCCACCACGTCGAGTATCCATCTCGCTAGGGCTGTGGCTCCCAGCAACCAGTCACGTGTCTACTCCAGTCTGCCAGCGTTCCCCGATCATGGTCGGTGAGAAATGCATGCTCGAGGAGAGACAACCAGATGTGATTTTATTTCCTGCTCTCTCGCGCGCGCGCGCCCTTCAAACGTGTGCGACAAGACAAATCAAGATTCAGACACACAAGCTCTGAGGTGTTTCAAGCTTACGTAGGAGAGTGTGCCGGCTTCAGTACATCGCGAACAATGAGGATGAAGATCCCCTCCCCCTACACGGGCTGTTGGGGCGAGTGCTGTAAGCGAGAGCCTATTAAGGCACACGAGTGGGTGGCGTGGTACAGAAACTACGCATCTCCCCAGTGCTGATGTTTGCAAACCGCATTATGGGTTCTCACTTGAGGCTGAGTCGACCGAGTATGCGGTTAAGATTACCATACAAATATGTAGCAGGAACAGCAACTCATTGGATGGCCACGTTGTGGCAGGCCTTTGAGTTGGGATTCTAAACAATAACGCGACCACACATCCAGTTCTATTGAGATGATGGTCTGGATAAGGCCCAGAGCTCTTGGTACGTGCTGAATCCTCGTGTGTTGTTGTTGTTGTTAAACCGGAGTGCGCTAACCACTACGCCAACGCTCCCCGCAATACAGCACGGCCGCTTGAGATTATGTTAAGATTCAAATCAAGATTATGTTAAGGCTTTTATCGAAAAGCTATGCCATGCGGTCTAGTTATAGAGCTTATTCAGCGCTCATGCTTGTTGGGAACTTTGCATGAGCCAGTTGTGGGATGATATTTCACATTCTCGA